ATTTTGAACTACTGAAAAAAGTGAAAGTTTCCAGCCAGCAGTATCCTACCACCCATTATACACACTAAGGAATTGACTGTCACTCGTATAATGCACCCACAGATTAAATTGCGGGGAGTATTTTTGTGGTATCACATACAAGTTTAGCTTTATAAGCATGATTTTTCATAGGAAAACGTCGCTGTAAAACCGACATTTTACATCAGCTTAAGTGATAAGCTAACTTGAGATTAATTCATTAAATTTTTAATTTTACGTTATATAATTGCGGGTGTATTATGATTGACGTTTAAAACTCGTGGAACTCTTATAAAGTATAAATAATGCCGTTATACATACGTGTGTGTTTCTCTTTTGTTTTTCTTCCCCTGCATAAAATTCGCATTGAAGAGTATTGAATAGATGTACTCTTTGAGTCGAACATGTTTTGATGTTTCATCTTAAACTAGAATGTTTAAAATCAGTTCTTGTTATTTAAAAAAAAACGATATTATCAGGCTTGGAAAACAGACAACACTATCGTGTGTTCAACTTTTATAACTATCATTACATACATGTACCAGATGATTTACGTGGTACGATGTTTCTGTGAAAGTTGTAGCTACTCAATGTCTTTACGTATTAATATACGATCAGTAGTTTACTTCGCGGAAACGTTCGGTAATATCCTAAATTACTGCAAGCAAAATAGGAGCCGTATCATTTTACATCGCTCTCATTCGACGTAGTAATACAAGTCGGTGCTAATGTAGCTCAATACAATGAGAGCACGCGAGGATTATCGGTTTTACCTGTTGTTTTGTTTGTTTGTTTTAGATATTTGCGAAAACCTCCAGAACGGCTTTCTGCGCTAACTACTTCATAGACTAGAGTAGAGAGACTAGTTAACAGCATCCACCGGTAACTTCTTTTAAATCCTAAGAATGTACAAAGTATGAAATTATCCTCATTATAAGAAGCAATAGTTTAGAGTCGACATTCAGACACTGCTGACATGGGTTACATTATGGCCTAATAAACATCTGTGCAAACACGTAAAAATGTTGCCTTCAAAATCCCTGCGCTATCTGCGTTAGAAGTTTGAAACATTGTCTCGAAATTAATGGAGACGAAATTAGCTCTTAACGCGATCCAAAATAAATGTGATTTTATTAAAAAATAATTGTGTGAAAATAAAAACATTCTTATATCATATCACACACTATACGCGGTTGTATACTTTATTATGGCAAACTCCTTTATTTCCTTTTAAACAACTGTACAATAACTGCATATGATATGAACATAATTTTCTGAATTATGTTGCTTCCAATTTAATATAAATGTTTAACTTGAAGTTCACTAAAACACACTTGGAACTGAAAGTGGCATACAACTTTTTCTAGTTGTTGTTTTACTATGCATACTTCTTTGGGGTTAAAGAAATTTTCGTTTCAACAGTAGTTGTCAAGTATGGAAATGAACACAGTTATTACTCCTTCACATCGAAGAAAAGAATGCCATTCTAAAAGCCATACTGGTTCGTAGTAAAGTATAATATATTCATTTGATAGTCCAAAAAACATGTCAAACGTCACGTTTTTCATTTACAGGCAAGATTTATCACACCAAGTTGTTGACATCTTTGGCATATTAAAGAAGCTTCGTAATGACTACCTTTATAAATCTGTGCTGCTTGAGACGATGGATGACATTGATCACACACAGCCTTACTAATATAAAAGAACAGTGATCCATAAATTATTAAATAAAAATCACACCACAAGAATTCCGAGACTCTTGGAGCCTTCCTCGAAACCAATGGTGAAGAAGTTTGGGTTAATCAGGGTAAAGTCAAGTAGAAAAACCAATAATTTTGTATACACACAGGTCCACATAGAGAGCTAATATCGAATATTGCTTTTATACCAGGAAAACCCGAAACCTGTTTTCTGAGGGGAATGTGCACGAATAATAGCTATTCTATTTCGAATCGTAGATACACGCTTGTAGCTTATTGATCCGTCTAAAACAACTGTCCTAAACTGAAATGTAATTTGTTATCTATCCATGATTATATACTGGCTTTACCTGGTCGTGTGTCATTAGTCATGGGGTAAAGAAACTGCAAAGAACCCTTTCTCTACATCTTTAGCCTTTTTGTTCATGTTATACATTAATAACCTGTTGATAACAGAATATTTTTGCTGGATGAGCTTTATATAATAGATATATATATATATGTTGGATTTCATTTTTCACCCTGTTTAAATATCATCTATATTACATTTTGCACTTCAGGTATGTTGAGAGTGTTTAATTTTCGCTTATCACGTATTTTGATAATCTAAGTCTTCTGTTTTTTTCTTCACAGAAATGTTTGGCTTAATTTCCTGAATGTTGATATATTACCAGTAGCGAAATTGTTTTTATACCAGTAGCTTTCAATTTAATTTTGCATGAATATAATTATCTAAACGGAAAAGAAAAAACGAGTTTATTAAGTTATAAGTTGATGTCTTACTGAAATAAATCGTACTCCAAGACCCAAACAATTTTCTGACCCTGTCAGAAACTAATTTCAGCTTAACTTTTTTTCACTGAAATATCCTGCTATAAAGCACTCATCATACTGAGCAACTTTCTTCAGCTTCAGGAAATAAAATATTCGACTGTGTCTTTCAAAATTTCATAGCTTGAAGGGAAATTAATCTATTTCATTATATGTATGCATACATAATAACTTCAGAGACAATGGCATTTGTTTAATTATGTCTACTATAGTTCATTCTATTTTATTCCTTTTGAAACCAACTTATTTATAAAATCTGTTCAATTAGACTATACATTACATTAATATATTATATTCTTATTGTTTGCCATGCAAATCCTTAAAACAACACAAATCGTTACGTAACATATATACGCATTATGGTGTACAGTATATGTCTACCAGTCTTATATTGGATATCGATATAACATAGTACAATATAATGTTATGTGATATTTATGTTATGTAACTTGTGACTGATTTACAATGAAGTTCAGCATTAGAACTCAGATAGTAAACAATCCAGAATATTAAAAGTCGATATTTGTTTGCTAGACTTTCGCTCAAAGCTTTTCGATGACTATCTGCGCAAACTCGATAGTACAGCCGTTTCTAGAATCTTGGTATAAAAACAACATCCCAATTCTTTTATATATGTATTGATGTTATGACTTGCATGTTCGAGGAATTGTTCTTCAAGTTTGCTATGATTACAAATTGGACCTACTTTTTACCCTACCCCTAACTACATGGACAAAAAATACGGACCCTTTACTCGCGGTTAAAAACCTTTAGGGACAGTTTGTCCTTGCTGAAAAAAGGTTCACTTTCGAAAGCGCTCGAGTTAAGGAATTTTGTATTTTTGTCTTAAATTTATATATATTTTTTCTGGTGAAAATGGGATTATCAGGCCTATTTTCTGAAAGTTGTTATATATAAAAGGAGAAGTTTAAAATGTACTTTGAGCCCTGTTATAGTTATTTTACGCCCCATATTTGTTACGTTTAGATTCAGCAGTATAAGCAGATTACATGGAAGTCAAACCTTTCGATTTTTGTGGAATAAATTAAGTTACATTATTCTTGGTTCTTCAAAATAATAAGCTTCACTAAATCAACAATATTTTTAAAATGAAATATTTTGTTTTATTCAGTTTTGAGAGCGAAGTTTACAATTTCTATTTTACAATATGTTTGTTTGAATGTTAATATTAGAACATATTTATTCACAGGTTGCATTCAGTGAGTAATATCCGATTTTTTTACTACTTTTCAAATAATAGTAAATGATATGACCAGGAGTTTTCCTAGTATGTAGTTGATCACAAACTGTGCGCCTGTAAAAATATTTGTGCAGTTCAAAATTCACCTATACAAGTCAGTTCAAGTCATAGTTTCTAAAGTTGACACCAGAGGGACGCATTAGAGACGCGTTGCTAGGCCGCCATGATAGGCGGCCATGATGTCCTAGTTCACCATGGTGTCACCAGAGGGTACGAAACAACCTATGGAGGGCTGAAATTATAGTTCGATACCAGACAGGCAGCCACAATGGATGATTAATAATAGTACCACAAAGTAGAGAACGTGTTTCTAGGCCGCCATGACTTATACAATACATGTCTCATCATGTCGATAATTAATCATTAATTAATTAATTAAATCATCCTAAAAGGACGCTTAATTCTAATTCATTAGTTAATTATTTTGTCCTTAAAAGGACGCTTAGTACTAAGTAATTAGTTAATCGTAAAAAAGGAACACTAATTCATTAATTAATAATTAAATCATCCTACCACAAAGTTGAGAACGTGCTTTTAGGCAGCCATGACTCATACAATACATGTCTCAACAAGAATATAATTAATAGAATAATTTATAATTAAATCACCCTGAAAAAGACGCTTAACACTAATTCATTAGTTAATTAAATCGTCATTAAAAAAGACGCTTAACGCTAATTCATCAGTTAATTAAATTTCCTTACCATTTATATGTCCTAAAAGGACGATATTTTAATTAAAACTTACTCTTTTAATTATCAATCGTTTTTCAATAACATGATATATTATTTAACATAACACTAGCACAAATATATACAATTTTACTACGCACACAATGCGTGTCTGTAGACTAAAAAGGGCAATATCGTGTAATAATTAAAACTTATACTTTGACTTTATACAATATTTTACATAGTCAGTATTGTGCAATAACACTTTTACTAATTTGACTTTATAAAACAAATTACGCATGTTACTTTATCTTATGTTTTACAACTTTCACATATGTATGTACTTAATTACCATTATTTTTACAACTGTCCGTAGGATTTTAACAAATATGCTGTGACGATACTTCTACAAGTCATCGATGTCAAAAACATTACTTAACGTAGCGTGTTTGAATGAGACTAAAAATTACATTTTACTACATATGATTAATTACTATTATAGAATAACAACACTTACCATAAATCTTTGAGGACCACATTAGTGATATAATGTGTTCAGAATGTAGTCTACAAAATATCTGTGATACTTGCGTCAATGAAAGCATACAATCATGAAACACACATACACATTTCTATATGTTATTTTTATTATACGACTAACGGACCCGTATCTGACCTTGATACCATTTAACATTACTTCACATCATATAGATAGTTATTGTAAGAAGAAAGGCTAGACATGTAACGCTTTCTTTAACTCAACACACAGTTTACTAAGTTTTGCTCATTGAATATCACTCACTGGCTTGAAAACATACAAGTTAGAAAAACCATCTGCTTAGAATGACAAAGGTCAGTTCTAAGTTGACCCAGTCTATGTGGTTTGCGAAATAAGTACTGTGTTGCAATGTAGAAGTAGAGCAGAGATCGAAAAAATAAAAGTAAAGCGTGACAGTCGGAAGTGTTTGATATTCAAGGCTACTAACATGCTTGGTCCATAGGATTAAAATGACAAAGTATATTCTACAATAACTGGCTAGTTAGTCCAAGGACCAAGTGATTAAAGTTTCGATAATAATTCAGTGTTTGTAACAAAAAATATCAATTACTATAATAATTTTATAATAATATACTCTAACTAATATTCATTTTACACAAGTAATCAAAGTTTTCTTTATTTTAAAAATTTATACGAAGCAATTGAAAACTAAGTCAGCCGTGCACATTACTTAGAGTTTAAAACTGACCTTCAATATACAAATCAAGACTTGTAAAGTCTCACACATACATTAGGGAATATTTAAATATTTACTCATATATAGTCAGGGAACGCGCCAAAAATAACAAGTATTTCGATCGTTTATACAAAACGGACAAACAACCTAGAAATTCTATTTCAAGTTTCTTATGATAAAAGATGATACATACCTTTTCTTTCATGTTTTATAAATATGTTTACAATCCAAATAAACTGTTACGTCTATTATAATAAGTTTCGATCTAGAACTCACATATTTGTCGTTTAAATATAACACGTAAAGTTAGATACATAAGCTTAACTTCTTGAAGGTGTAATCATTTAATAGCGTAAAGAAATTTCCATATGGTACAACTTATAATTTGGACAAATTTTTATCTGAAAGCATAATATCCTGAAATATGTATGGATTAAATTAACCTTCATACAAGTTAGTGTACAATATTTGTTATACTTCTGTCGTTACTTAGTAAAGTCAATCCGTTTAGAATACAATGAAAGTTCTGTACTACACGTGTGACAATTATAATTAATTTAAGGAAAAGTTTTATTAAAATAAAAGTTAATTATAACACACTGTCGCTATCTGCGTATATATTTAATGTTAATGCATACGGGAAAATTTTATTAAAATAAAAGTAAATTATAATACACTATCTATGTATTTAGTCGACTTAGAACAAAATGAAAGAGCGATTCTACTTAAATATGTGAGATTTCATTGTTATTTTAATTATCTCATGTTTCGAAACATTGTTGCTAAATATTAGACGAAGATTTCAAATCATTGACAATGGCCAGTTTTGACTTATCTGACAATAGTAATAAGTTTATTTTAAATCAAAGACAGGACAAACGTTTTGTTTGCATAAAAATGTCCACCAGGATTTATTACACTGATTATCAATATCATAACAATTACACACAAAATATACCTATCCTATTGGGAATGATCGTTACACCACTTTCTCAACTTACGAAAATAACTTGAATATTCATATTTGACAATTCAAAGACTGTGGAAAAGGAAAACTATATCCAACCAAGGAAGGTATCACTTTTTCTTCAACAGAATGGGATGGATTTAAACAGTGGATCTCAAACATTAGTGTAGCTGTACAGAGCAAAACTGAACAATATTTTCATCTAGAAGGACAGAATCGTGTAATCCGTGTTGTATGTGTTAATAGTATCCGTTCTATTTTGTTTACGTATCGATTTGATTATCATGGTATTGATATTGTTACGTATCTGCTTTTTTGATAATTTCCGAGAAACTTCAGCGACACAAGTCCTTTCTTAATTAAAACTAGTTTATTCTTTCTCGTTACAAACTTTAATACACTTAATTTCCACAGTCACTTTAACTTAAACACACGCAATAATTCCCAACGATTCACGCACTTTACTTACGGTCACTACCGCTCACTTGACTCAATTATCTGTCTCTATATCTTCCTATCTGCTATTATATCTCCGCTTTATTTGCCGGGCTTATATACTAAAATAGAGGGCGCCTGGAAAAGGCTAGAGTTGCCAAGAAAAGTCATGATCCCTCTAGAAACTCATGACATGTCACGTGACTTCCGCTGTCGTAATACTGCCTGTTCCTTAGTATTTTTCGTCCTG